TCTCGGTCGGCGCGCTTTTCTCTTTCAATTACTCGTCTGCGATCCGAAGATCTTGGTATTTGAATATTTTCATAACACGCAATTTCGCGACAATAATTGACAGTCGCGATGTTAACGTATCGATGCCACTTAATCAGCAACGAAGTATATCATCGCACATACTAACACTAACGTTCTACTAACGTAACGATAACCATATGTAGTACGATAATGCTGCTAGTATTATTACTATATTCCCACGATATCGGTAATACTGCTACAATATTGTTAACCACGTACTAACCTAAATGTTAACGTCATAACGCGCCAATGCTGATATTAAATCGGTATTATATACCGTTGTATTATCATCAGCACGTTATCGGTGTATCTTATAACGCGTCGTTACGTTAATTCGCGATATTGGTTTACGATTATATATTCAAGGCGAATTATATACTCGTGACGAGAGAATACGAGGGAAATCGACGCGTTCGAGATCTCGTTCGGAGGTACGTCCTACGAGTACGTCGAGCGTGCAAACACGTTAAAACACCGATCGTTGTTGTTATTTAAGGATGGAAGAACAACAAGGAAGATGCGAATCAGTGGAGATTTTCGTCGAAGAAAAAGGAAAGGAACTACTCTTTCCTCTCTGTTCTCACGATTGCTTACCAGCGCCGGTCGCCGAAGCCTCGAGCTGATCTACGGATCCACGATCTACGGACGAGTCAGCGCGCGGAACTATTCGCCCATGCTGGACTCGTCCCGCTATTTTAATGTTTCTTTTTTCCCCTTTTCCTTGCTTTTAGAAGAGAGACGTTCTATCAACATTACATCTGTACTGAGATTATCTGTTACTCAGTGCTACCGGACGAATATTATTTTATTAAACATCTTTGCATAACATTCAACATAGCAATGCTCGTAAAAGGTTTTAAAACATTAAAACTTCAGAGGAAATTTCTTAGTATTTTAGAATTTTATATGTATATTTTAGATATAAAAAGAATTAATTGTCTATTTTTCTTACGGAAAATATTTCGAGAATTTAAAACTGTTGTATTTATACTAGAGAGAAAAAGAGAGATATTTTTGATACTACGCGTCTATAAAATATAAACAATATTTTTCTAGACACATTTCACGTGCCTTTGAACCTTTGAAAAGATGCCTTCTTCGATGCTGTCGGAGTCGACGAGTTCGTTATTCACTTTAAAGAAAAAAAAAAAAGAAAAGAAATGCAGCGATCTGTCACGCGTCCTTTTGAGGATGCGTGCAGCGTTGCGCGTCGAGCAGAGCGGAAAATTTCACTCGCGTCGGCGTGGAACGATCGACGCACGATCGATTCGTCCTACGATACGCGATCACGTATTCCCTTCGTTCGTACGAGAATGCATGAAACTTTTTACGAAAGACAGAAAAGACAGATATGTGGGAAAAATTGCAGAGAGAGAAAGAGAAAGAAAGAAAAGCGCGGAAAAGGTAAAGAAAAATGGCGATCGTGAATAGCTCGGGGCTGAAATCGTTTGGCGCGGCTGGTTCTGGTGATTTTGGTCCCATATATCTATGATATATTAAACATTGTATGTTCCATGAACGATCTAGCGTGTAAGTTTCACTTTAGGCACTATAAGCATGATGGCGGCTCACGTGAGCCGCCTGTTAAGTTACTCGAAGAGATTCCCCTATATATTTCCTTTCCTCCGCCTTTCACTTT